TATAGTTTTGCAGATAGTCTTAGCTACTGGCAAAGCATTTAACATTTAACCTAAACAAACCAGCAACTCAGTTCCAGGTGTGATATCTGATCTACGATCTGAGCCCAGTTCAGCTCTAGGTCAAACTGTCAACAAAGAGGGAGGATAAACAAGAGACAAAATACGACTGCTCACAGGCAGTTAGGAGGTATTCTGGTTGATAAGAATTAAGGTCTGGGAAACACAGAGTTAACTGTCTCACATGAAGATGAAACAGTCAGTCGTAACCTCCAGGTCAGTTCATACACACATAAGGAAGAAAACACTTTAAACTAAAAATCACAATAATACTGATTAACATTAGACTGAATATGAACTAAAGTAATAACAAAATGATAATACCAAAAATCTCTATCAATTACCAAAGGTGTTACAAGAAAAAACAGCTAGACAGAGGCAAACACTCATTCTAAAGGTGCCATAGAAAGGTTAGATCAATCCACATTATACTATACACATCTGGTAATCATTACCTCCGAAGCGTGTGTATGCGTGGCTTACATGTAACCCTGTATACACACGTGACAGCTGTGCACGTGCCTCGGGTTACGCTGATGGCTGTACGCAAGCGCGGGCTTTTGGCAGTGAATGCATCCTACCACAGAGTTGACTTCAGCAAAGAGGAGTGAGCTCTGGTTCTGGCCTCCTAGATCAGACCAAGAAGAGGAAAATGTGGAAAAACAGGAGTCATGCGGCACTGAGCACCAGTTGTTTTCACTTTGGCCCTTCTCTGCGGCCTCCCTTTTCCACCAGAACGGGGGGAGAAACGGGGGCAAGTGGTCTTCTCATTGACGTTGGGAAGCCAGCCAAAGACTGAAGGCCCCTTGGTCACGGCCTGCGCATTCGCTCATCCATCCACTCGCAGCGCCTTACGAGTCATGGCTTAGCAAGGCAGGCGCTTGCGGGAGGTGGGTTCATGACTTAACTGTAATTAGATTGTTGCATTTATGACCTAAGCTCAGATGGGTTGATGCCATGAGGCGTTCTCCGGTGCATTGTTGGGGATTTCTAAATCAGCATCCCTTCTTCGATTACATGAGAACTGCAGTGAGAATGACTCATCATTGTTCACTCATGATATGAAATTGCTTGCATCATTTCCATTAGGCAGAACTGTATGTCATCTTGGCAGATTTTAGCCAATTTAGAGCTGTTGTGGATAAAATCAGATTATTGTTTCTGTGAACTCGGCAGCACAGCGCTGCCCTGATCCCTCAGGGGTGGTCAACTGGGTGGGATTATTATGGAGGATTGTCTCACTATGTTAACATCCATTAAAAAAAGAGAAATTGGCTGTAAAATATCAAAGCTTTTCCACGCTGTTGCATGTTCCTGATGTACTATGTTGGTGTTTCTGGAACTCTAAAATAATAATGTAATGGATCTCAGCTTTAAAAAAAAATCCTGAGTCAGAGTTGTTTGGGATAATTCGGGGCAGAAATGGTTCTCATTATACTTTGGATCTTAGAACTGGGCAAACATGTAATCAGTTTGAAGTCTCAGTTATCATTGACTTCATCTACTTAGTTTGCGCTGCTCACTAACATGGAGAGGGCTCAGTTTTCGTAGGAATACACTAAGCAAACAAACCCACTGTAAACACTGCAGATGGATTCTGTTCCAAACGCCATGTTTTCTAAAGCAAACAGATCCTCTGTGCTGTGATGGCAAACCAAATGTTTTCATGGAGAGAGGAAAGAAACGAGAAGAAGAAAATTACCTCAAATCCCTCTGGTGAAAGTTAGATTTACTTCTTTACAGCATCAGTAATTATCAGTGTGTTGTAAATTTATTTAAATGTAGTCCCAGACAACAGACATATCATATACAATATTGTGACTTTATGTAAAAGAAAAACAGCTAAGCCAAAATGAAGAGACACTGTGTGGAAAAAATGAAGAACTAACTTAAATAAATCATAGTTTGTATCATCTTATCAGTCTTGATGAAGAGTTTTGACCCACTCCTCTCTCCAACATTATTATCACTCATTGAGGTTTTACCCACCACAACTCTTCAGTTAGTCAGGGTGAGTTCTTAATTATAACAGAGCTGTTGCAACAGTGCAACAAAATCCTTTGCAGCCATTTTGTTTGTAGATTTACTGTCATTTTTGGAATGTATCTACTGTATGTATTTTTTTCTATGATGTTCCATATAAATTTACTAAAAAATTAAAACCTGAAGATGGACATTTTTTAAAAATTATATCCTATCTCACATAAAACTGTAGAACTGAGATACGTTCTGCTATCTGTTGTTGTGATTTATCTCTGTAAGCGACAGATTTCTGATAGAAATATGAGCAATAACACCTCAACTTAAAGCCTATTCCAGTTTTGACTGCTCTATTAAACCTCCAAAAGTCAAATTGACTACTATATTGACAGAATTACCATAAAATAATATGAAACAAATGTTAAGACTTAATTTGTATTTCACTGCTTAAATCCAGAATTATTCCACAGCATGTTAACAGCTGGATTAGGGTGAAGAAGACAGATAGTGTGAAGTTATGTTTTATGGTAATGTTCTTTGTAGCGCTGGCAGCTTTATGGAGCAGGTTTTTTCTGTAGTGATTGTGAAATTCAGCTGTGTCTAATCTGGAACCATCTGTCAGGGAGTCTTGGTGGTGTGACCTCTGTGGTCGTGTCTTCAGAGGTTGAGGAAAGTTCAGGGTTCAACCAAAGTAAGTCGTTTTGCGGGAAGGCGCTCTCTCCGTGGCAGGAGCTCTAACAAACAAATGACGTTTGCTGAGATACCAGTGCTGTTCTAACGCTGACCACACTCTCATATCTGATCATATCTGATTCTGTTAAAGCAGCAAACACGGCCGGCCGGGAAGAAGTCCAGCATGGTTATCCACAACATGCATCAGGACACTGTGTGAGAAGGCTTAGTGGGTTCTCAGCTTTATAACAGTGCTCTGCAGAAGTATCCATGACGCCTCAATAGTTTCACATGTTGTCGTTGCACACGTTGAAAGTTAAAGGATAAAGTTTTTAAGCACTTTGGCAGGAAAAGTTTGGAAAGTTTCCTGCGCATTCGTATTCAGGCTTTCTGAGTCAATACTTTTTTAAGTTTGTTAGTTTTTAGTTTAAAACTTTTTAGTTTCTGCCGTTGCACCTGCAGGGTCCACTCTAAAAATTAAAACTAATGTGTTCTTAAAAGGTTTGGTGCTACAAATTTAAATTAAAAAATATTGAGTGAATTGGAAACCAGTCAAATTCCTTAAATATGCTCCATCAATTGTATGACTGCAACTAAAAATATTTTTTTAGTATGAATAATGACATAGTTTGCTCATTAACAAACAAAATTAAGTAAATACAACTGAAACTATGTTAGATAAGTAAGCCAGTCTAAAGCCTCTGAAGCTCTGGCTGTATTTGTTGGGTCGTTGTCCTGCTAAAAGGTGAACCTCCACTCCACGATCAATTCTTTTGCAATCTGTCCTTGCTAAAGAAAAGCATCCCCACACAGAATGATGCTGCCATTAGGCGTGTCATGATAAATTTTGATGCGCAATAAACTGGCCCAGAAATTATAGAAATAAATGTTCAAAGTGGAGGCCATTCATGGCCCCCCTGCCGTCTGGACCACAATTTAAGGATAAACGAAATCAATTAGGACAAAACCACAACTTTTAAATTAAATCTACTGACAAAAATGTTAGATCCAACACAAAGTGATAATCTTTTCCAGTGCAGTGACAAATTTGAAATTTAAGACAGCCTCTTCCTGTTATGTCATCCTCAGTTTGCTGCAAATGTTACCGGCCTTCCTGAGCATTCTTAGCATAGCAAGTCGCCTAGGTCAGATAACATGGAGGGCTGCGGGGAAAGGGATGGGGTGGCCGTCATCTCCTCTGTTATTAAACTCTTCTCAGATGACTTGTCACCATCCATTATGTGAGCCGAATGCTCCTTCCAGGAATAGCAGCCATTGTGAAGGAGAGCTGGCCACCTACCAGCTCTGCCTCTCTGCAGCACACAAGCGCCTTTGTTTTGTTAGTTAAGACATCATTACAGCTAATTTCACTTTTGAAAGGCTTCCAGATGCGTTTTCAACAAATGGCTAAGCAGAACCTAGCGGAGTCAACAGGTCCATCTGTGAGGGGACACTCTCACCTCATACGTAGATGTGCTCTCGAGATTTGTTCTGCTTCAGGTTTCTGCATCGAATTCTTCAGTGGATTGCTTATCAGCACTAGAGAGTATCTGTAATCTGCTGTTTCTGTGGCATGCGGCTGACACAGTAGCCATGTTTCCATTGTAAGCGTGCACGGAACAGTTGTTATTCTGCTAACATTGAAAAAGAAACAATGTCGCAATTGTGGCGTTTCCATTAAATAAGAAACACAATTAAAATCATACATGAATAAGTTTGTTCACACAATGAGTCATTAAAAAACATGCAGCACCATCATCCTCTTATTACTTCCTGTCATCTTTTCTTCATGGTTTGCGCCAGTGGCAACATCCGATTGTTGACCATGTGACTGGTGTGATGCGAAAAAAGTGTTTTCTTTGCAGATTTGCGAGAAAAAAAAGCTACTTTTTTGATATGACATAAAACCCACTTCATCTCTGATATTTTGTCTGGCAATACTATTTATTCACTGTGAATTGCCATACTTGCTTGTAGTTGTTTTGGTAAAGTTTTACTTAAAAAAACACCTCATCCCGGTGCAAAAACTTTTTAATAGAAAAACAAGAGTTCTTTTCAGAATTGCCGTGTTTCCATTCAGCAAATTTAGTTTTACAATCTCAAATTTCACAACTATTATAAATAGTTGTGAATGGAAACAGACTTGCTGACTCATGTTACATTTTATATCTTCATAGTTTTAGGTTAATACTGTGCAGTTGTGTCAATGTGAAGAAGCATGTTTTTAAGTTTTCATTGTCGATGTGTTCTTTTGCAGATTATCCTCCAAACAAACATGAAGAAGGTAAAAAAAAAAAGCAAACTTTTTTTGTTTTTATTTTTTCCTGTGTTTCCATTATTTCCATGTGACTGAGTGTTAACTAAATAAACTGTTTCATGTTCCAGCTGAGATGTTTCTCTTGGACACCACCACGGTGGTGTTGATCGCCTTCGCCGCCTTTGTTATTGGGGTTCTGCTGACTGGGGCCCTGTGGTTTATCTACACACACACAGGTAGGTCCCTCACCTACCGCCCCGCCACCCCCACCCAACCCGACCCCACCCCACCCACCTCGACGCTTTAATGAAAAAAGATAAGAAGCAAAGGAATGTCCCAGCATGCCGCAGCGATGACCAAACATCCTGTAGCTGATAGAGGGCGCCTCACAATAACATATTGACTCCTTCACTGTAAATATATCCTGTTGGTCAGCAGCGAGAGCTCCCCTCTTTCCTCCCTTTGAATGTTTTCGGGGGGCCGCAGGCGGTCAGCAAATGTTCACAGCACAATGGCTGGAGACAAGCTGGAAATCCCCCTCGCTGGGTTTAGTGGGCGCTCACAGGAAGAGACACACAATCTGTCTATTAGATGCCAAGACTTTCCCCGTTGTCCCCAGCCCGCTGACCCTGGCCGACCCCTGAGAGGAAGCCCACCGAGTTCAGCACCGCATAGAACTCAGTGTCTCAGTGCTGATCCACTGGGCCACTGACCTGCAGGAATGTGGCGGTTCTTTAGTAAAACTGTTTGGAAGTTTGCATGTGCGTTCTGGAAAGAGCTCACTTAGTGTGAAATGACTGCATTAGTTGGCCAGATCCAAACCGCTATCAGAGGGATTACAGTTAAAGAACTCTCGTAGTCATCATACTCCCGTTACATTTCTGAGGAGGATTTGTTGCCACAGTAACCATCCCCTGTACCAAGCTGAGCACCCTTATCATTCTCCAAATATTTCTCTTGGCTTTTCTATAGGAACAGTCATCTTTTCTGTTTTATATATTTACAAGTGAGTGACCAACAAAAGAACACAACGGATCTGCTTTTCCAGAGATAGTATATTCCAGATAAAAAGTCAACACACGGGCGCACACACACACAAACACACACACACACACACACACACACACACACACACACACACACACACAGAGCAGGTTTAAAGATAGATGACATGAAAAGACTCAGTTAAAGGCACATTTCTGTTGATGTTATGAAAATAGACCACTTTTGGATGGGAGTGTTAACTGTATCAGCTACAGATGACCTTATATGGCAATGTTTGCAGTTAACCCCAAGAACGTAGATCCCCTAAACAACAACCAAAAATATCACGTTCTGAGTGTATTTTCAACCAGTGTTCATAGTGATGAGGCATGGAAACACTTTGGATTTGTTCCAGCAGCATTCAGAGATGCCTTTAAAAGTCATTTCTCCCCTCTTTTATTTACTGACGGTCATGATGGTCATGTCATTTATGAATACATGACAATTACTGAACAGTCTCTGTTCAGCAAAATAGAAACTTAGCTGCTTTAAAAAGAAGCCACATACCATCATAATATCTGGAATTTTGCTCATTATGACGACACATGCAGTTTACAGTGAGCCAGGCCTAAACTTTCTTATTCTGTGGAAAAATGAAATCCTCCTCTGTTTAGTTGGTCTAAAATCAGCACAGCTAAAAACTTTTAATAGTTTCACTGTTTTGAGAGAAATTCATAGTATATGTTATAGAGAAGATTTACACGTCATGATAAAGCTTAGGGCTGTCAAAATGCTAAAACTAAAGAAAAATACTTGATGGAGTCAGAAACAACCAACCTACTGCAGATGACAGTAGGACCACAGGGAGGAGGCAGAAGAGCTTCATTTTTCTTTCCACATATTATCTCCCTCATATTATACAGCTGGGTCATAGTGACAGTTTTAACAAATATGGAAAAAAAAACATTTTTTTATTAAAGTTACATACTGCAGCTATAGGCCTCTTTCTTTCTTGGTTTTATCCTGCACAGGCACTGGGGGCTTTCTCATCCTTATAGAAATAATTTCTACACCTAAAGAGTAAAGGCCAAATGTCTCTGAGCAGACATCTGTTGCAAGCGCTGCACCTAGGGGTTTTTATGCACGCACAAAGTGCTCTTGTAACAAAAAGAATGTGCCTTTATCTTTCCCATCTATAGAGATAATATCAGACATGGGAATTCTAGTTTCCTCCAACAGCTGAGGTGAATCCCTTTGTTTTTGCGGGGCTCTGGTCGGTCCTGTGAGTGAAGGTCTGCTGGCAGCCAGCCCTCTCCTGCTAATCATTAGCGGAGCTTTGGGGCCTGACAGCAGGAGAGAGCTACCATTTCACCCATAGGTACATACAGCTGTCATACACAGAGGCACTCGCTCCCACAAGGCTGCACGCCATTACAAATGTGCTCAAATCTTTGTTGCTATTCTGCTGATGTTGAAAGAACACAATTTCACAATTGCGGTGTTTCTGTTAAATAAGAAATTAAATTAATTTCACAAGTTTGGTCATGCGATAAGTTGTTGAAAATCATGTAGACAACAGATAGAAGCAGGTACATGAGATATATTCACAATTCAGCTATGGTGCTGCTAGCATGCATCTATCAGCCAATCAGAGGAGACGTAGGCATCTTATTCAGGCATAGAAGCAACAAGCCCCGCCTACTTTAAAAAAAAAGTTTTGTTGAAATTATAGTCTCCTTTACAGATGAGCTATAGATTGAATATGTTCTAATGACACAGTGTTTTTAACTGTGATGCTGTGAGAGCTCTGGTGGAGCCAGCTGTGCAAAGTCCAAAAAACCAAAAACAAACTGTCACGCTCCTACTGCTTCCTGTTGTCGTCTTCATCGTTTTCGCCAGTAGTAACATGCAGCTGTTGATGACGTGACTCATATGATGTGAAAAAAATGTTGCGATAAAGCTGAAAAACCATATCATCCTAACTCTTTAGCAAAAAACTTGTTTTTTTGAAATTGACATGTTTTTCCATTAAGCAATGTCTGATGGAGATGTCTTTTGTAAACAGACAAAATAAGTAATTTAAGCTTTGGAGCGAGTTAGTTTATGATAGGAAATGCTTTTTTAGACAAAGAACAATAACCCAGATGCTTGGATGACAGTAACCGGTTCCTGTGCTGTTTCTCCTGCTTTGTCCTGAATAAAGGCTAATTAGTTCCAGATAGCTAAAGACACAAAGTCATGTGAAGAGCAAAACATTTCTTTCAAAATCTGTTCATAAAAGATGTGACCATTTGGCTCTGGACCTTTCAGGGGACATCTTTAGGGACGTCCTGCTTCTCATCCTGCTGGCCAGGGTTCGCCTTGGATTCCTTTACACTTTGTTCTCTTTATGCTTTGTTCTCTATATGTTTTCCTTTGCCTGTGAAAGATAGATCTCAAAGGACAATAAAAAATTGAAACTATGTGAAATGTCAAGCAATAAGCTCCATACATTGACCATTTTGTATTTTCAGCCAGATCAGTTTGTCATGTTTTTGGCCGATTTTAAATCCAGTCCCATTTTCTCTGGTCCGACCTCCCCATCCCCACCTCACCCCTCTCCTGCCCCGCATCCAGGTGGGAACGCCAGAGCGCAGCCCGTTCAGAAGCCACAGCCTGTCTCGGAGAACAGCAGCGCGGCCCACAGCATAGGCAGCACGCAGAGCACGCCGTGCTCCAGCAGCAGCACGGCGTAGCTCGGGACGCCTCCCCGAATGCACCGGCCACTGCGCCTTCACCCAAACTGGTTCGTTGGTCTTCTAAAGTGTGACGCAGAAAACAAACAAAAAAAACACTGACAAATGTGCTGCGGTGATTTTGAGACGCGTCTCAGCACAAGAAAGAAAGAAAGAAAGAAAGAAAGAAAGTTCTGTTTAGATGGGCTTTTTTTTTTCAAATCCAAATGCTGCTCTTCTGATCACAGTTAAGCCTTTTTTTCTTCGTCCTTAAATGGTTTGAATTCAGTCGCTTTGCTCCATCGGTGATTGAACAATGCAAGATTAGCAGAGGTTAGGAAGTGATATGTTGATGGCTGGACCGTAAACACATTACTTTAACACACACAACCTAGAAAGTAGCACAGGAGCAACACAACCACTATTAGAAAGAGGACAAAAGTGCAGTATGAACTGATCTGTTATCATCCTGACGAAGAGAGACAACGGAGGTGTTGAATGTATGAGAGAACAAGCACCAGCAAATGTGAAAGAACAATGTGAAAGATCTGCAGGTAGACCTCCATATTTTAGAAAAAAGAAGATTTTTCTTTATTTTGGATTAAAGTGTAAACAGTAGATATAGGAGTACATTAGAGCGGCTCAATAGGTGCAAGTTTAAAATGACCACATTTTCAGAGTTAAAGCATACTAATTTGCTGAAGTTAAAGGAAAAGACTGATACTTGTTTTGTGTCTGTGTGTGATTGGCCTGGCTTCATGGTGTCAATCAAATCAAATCGGATCAATCAGTCAATTTTATTTAGCTAGAAACATTTGGTGTACGTTGGAAGAAATCCTCAAAATCTGACCTGGCGTTTTAATTCAGTTCAGGTTACTCACAATACATGTAGTCTCTCAAGACAATTTATTAAAAACTAACATGCAATTTATATAGAGAAATAAGTGGCGCCCCCAAGGGGAGGGCCACTTGAAAGATGTTGCCCCTGCCAGAGAATTGTGCTCAGGCTGGCGTACATGGTAAATGGGATATAGCGTTTTATCATAATCATCGTCTTCAATCACAACATAAATGGATAAAAAAATAAATTTATTTATACAGTTCTGGAAAAAATTAAGAGACCAAAGCACTGAATGACATTGAAAACTTCCTGGTTATTCCAATAGATATTGGTTTCTGAACTCTTCCTGAGTTAAAACATCAGTATTATTGTTTCTAAATGAATATGAACTTGTTTTCTTTGCATGCTTTGAGGTCTAAAAGCACGGCATCTTCTGTCATTATTTTGACCATTTCTCATTTTCTGCCAATAAATACTAAGTATTTGCTTGGAATTTCAGAGACATGTCAGTAGTTCATAGAATAAAATAACAATGTTAATTTTACTCAAACATACCTATAAAGAGTAAAATCGGAGAAACTGATCATTGTTTATTGGTCTCTTAATTTTTCCATATACATATATCAGGTCATTGACATACATTCCAATGTGATCCTTTAAGTACCTTAAGTTATCATGTGTGGTTTAAAGTCCTTTGAAAATGTTTTAAACTCAGTATTTCACATTACATCTTCCACTCAGTCCAGCCATTACTTTGTAAGCCAAGTCATTCTCTTGTTTGCATTACTATCCTTCAGACACAAGAGAGGTCTCAGTCTTTTTCTCAGCTGTCTCTCTTTATATCTCCTGAAGTGTTGGTGTACAGTTCTGGTCAGAAGTTTTCATACGCTTATTGAAATGAATTTCCTTATAATTTGGGGATTGAAATTATGTATTTCAACTATATTTTTTGATGATTGTTAAAATCTTAAACAACCTCAACTGTGAACTACGCAACAGTCTCAAATATACATCGCCACGAATCCTTGGAGAAATGTTTGCCAGCAGGGAGATCTTTGTATTAACAACCTGCTGGGAGGATTCTGCATATTTGAGCATGTAGTGTTTTATAAATCAGTCCATGGTGGAATAAAAGGCTCAGATCAATTATTTTTATATTATCAGACCCAATTAAGGCAACATTCATGCTAATTGTGACTGTATGCAAACTTCTGCTCCAGACTGTTGATTTGTATTTTTATGTGAATAATTGTAAATAGGCAAATGTGTTTTGAGGGAAGCACATGTGCAAACTTCTCTTTTCTGCTTCATCTGTGCCAGTTCCTTCTTTTATAACCTGAGGAATCTCATCCACAGTGTTGACTGACTGACTGATAGCATTAACGACGGCCATATTTAAAGAACAACCCAGCGATCATGGTTAGCATGCGCTAGCTGAGGTCTTGCTGTCTGTCCTTTCAGCATGCAGCACATTGTCACAGAAATAGAAAGGCGTCAGATGATAAAAAGGAGTAGCGCTCCCTGTTTGTAATCTTTATCAGACAAAACATGAGGCATTCTTCCATGGTTTGCAGACACCAGACGGCCAGTGTTTGGAGTTCCTTATCCCACTTGGTTTTGTGTAAATCTTGGCACTCAGTGTGTTGTATAAGCTGTGGCCAAAGTTCTTTGTTTCACATATATTTTCTTCAACATTGTAAGCTCTCCACCGCTTTACAAGAATATGAATGTTTTCTGTGTGTGTGTGCGTGTGTGCGTGTGTGTGCATGTGCGTGTGTGTGAGTGTGTGTGTATGTGTGTGAGTGTCAAGAGTGTGTGTAGGGGGACAAGCAGGGGCCTAGAGTGGGACAGAAGAAGAGATGTTTCCCTGAAGCAGCAGTGGGGACACAATGCTTTTTATCTGTTTGTTTTTTCTTCTCCTTTCTCAGTGTAAACTTATGTACAGCTTTCTACAGATGCTATAAATAAATATATTTGTGTATAAGATTATATTTTGGAATGTATTTACGACAGAATTTTTATTGTGATGTGTGTGTGGAAGTACTGTGAATTGTGGATTTGCTCATATAACATATGGTTTGGGAAATTCTTTGTAAAGCATACATAAAAGTGTTGGACGCTGTCGAATAAGATGCAATTTAGTAAATAATTATACTATAAAGTTGTCAGTAGGAGACGCCTTTTCTTAACAAATTTCTAGACATATTTCACGTTTGTTGTTCTGTGTGAAACTTTAATAATCTGTGCAGGTATTGCTGATGTTGTACACCCCATCCAGCTGTTTAAAACTAAGAACAGGACTCACAACTCCAAATGTATTAAGCTATGCTTTTTAGACACGCCGTTCATTTTAAAGCTGAAGCTTTTAGACGCTTCATAGCATCCCATCTCCAAAGTAGCATGTAGTAAAACATGAAACCAGCTTTGGTTTGTAACCTTTGGGTCATGCGCAGTTTGTACAAAATAATTCTGCATCATATTAAGCCACAGCCTCCCATCATCAATAATCAACTTTTGGTAAAGATGAGCAAAAAAGCATTAAATTGATTTTTTATTTCAGTAGCATAATTTTTTTCCAGATTTTTAAAGATATGTTGTCTATAGTCCACCATCTGTAAGCTTAAGCCCGTAACTATTTTATTGATGATCTTCTTTCAATTCATTTCCAAAACAATGTGTCTATCCTCCAGGGAACATAAATGCTGTCTTTATTCATTCAAGTGTCTTCAGATTTGTTCCTGCTGTTTTGGAGTTAGAATCTGCAGTAGCAGTCGTTCAATCTATAGACGCCTCTGACTGAAGACTGTTACTGTATGACAGTCTCATGGCCATCATGACATGCTAACTGCTCAAATTCCAGGCAGCAGAGACAATATTCCTCTGTAACAGTGGTTCTACTCAACCATCTCCTATGCTTTTGCCAATTTGTCTGGCAGAGATTCGTTGAACTTGGAAGAGAATGTTTCTCTTTTTCTTTCTGCACTTTAAGTAATAAAATTGAAAAAAAATAAAAAAAAATTAACGTAAAGCACAAATGATCAAAAAGCTTAAGCTACACTCACTTTAATATATCAATGAATGTGTCCAAACTGATTCAATGAAAACATTTTTCTTCAATGTGGTATTTTTATATCAAATTAAAGATTGGATTATTTTCTTTAAGAAATTTTACAGTGTTGAATTATCCTGCAATAAAAGCTGTGTTCAGTTTAATGTTTTTTACTCATCTTTGCCAACGTATAAGGAGGACACGGTAATTAGAGCACAAATCCATGGATCTATTGATTGTATTTTTTTATTATTATTTGATCTGACTACCTCATATGTTTTTTGAATGTTGAGCTTGTATGCCTGTATGTCTGGAAGTGCTATAGGTTAAGCAGCCGTTTAAGATTTAAAGCTCGATCATGATTCTTTTTTTTTAAATCACACTTTGTCATTTTAAATGAATCTGACAGAAAACATTAACGTTATGATAACCCTTCTTTTGTGAGCCTTTGTACGTTTAAGTTGATCATTTGACTTTCTTTGTGTTCATAAAACCTTTTATACGCTGTAAATATGCATGACCCCTGTACTCCCATTATGACCAATAAATATTTTACAATAATTACAGTGAGACTCCTGTCTGTTTGATGATTTCCTGTGTTGATCATGGACACACACTCCCCTACTGTATATGGAGTTGGTTTAGAACTCTGATCAGTGGTGATGAAGTGTTAGGTTCGGCTCTGTGGCCGTGAAGTCATGACTCGTCTCTGGTGAGCTCATAACATGATACAGACCATGAGGGTTGGAGGGTGTAGATGTAAGGGTTAGATGTAAGTAAGGGGTTCCACACTGAGGAAAATTTCACACACACACACACAGACTGGCATTTTTCTCTATGATTATCCGTCCTCTGGGTCTGTATCAGCAGCGTGCCTTGGCGTGAAGCAGCCCTGGGTGAATGTCCCGCCGCCTCTGGACACATCCCCAGCGATTGTGATATCATACATTTCCCTTTCTTCTGTTTTCCATAAGGAGCTCGTCCAACTTATGAGTAATATTTAGAATTTTTTTTCAACAAATGATCACAGACCTCATCATTCCCTTAAATGTGATGTCATTATTTTCATTTCCAGCTTCTCCCCCCTCTGCCTCCCTTGGCTACCTTTGCCAGAAATTTGTTGTTCTACTGCTAATTCATTGAGTCACTGATTGCATGCACCCTAGACGACAGAGATAAACACAGGATCAAAGTTAAAAGAATAATTAGGTTTCCAACACTGACATTAAGAATTGCGCCTGGTTTAAATTTGCCCTCAGGTCATAAACCTGATTACGTGAATTAAGTAAAGTGAAATACTTTTTTGCGAGTTGTGCAAAAGTAGAGACAGATGAGCATGGACTAGCTTTCTGATCACACCTTTATACCTGTAAAGCAGCTGATGTCCAGCAGGAGCTCTGCTATCTTTGTGCTGGAATCTATTGCAGATGTTTATTTTTCAAGGTTTTCAGGGTTTTACAGAAAGGGAAATTCTTCTTGTAACAGTCTTTTGCAAAAGTACTCATACCTTGGCACATTACAACTTGAAACTTTAGTACATTTTTTATAATTTTTTTACATTTATTCCTTGAACATTTTCTTAAAGTTTTGCTTGATTCAGAATCGGCTTTAGGCCTGGATTGGCGTGGGCTTTTCTTATACATTAATCTAAACCAGGGGAGTCCATAGTCATTCCTGAATGACCCAATACCCTGCATGTTTCAGTTCGCTCCCTGGTTTGTCACATCTGAATTAAATGATGGTTCATTAGCAGAACACTGGGATATTGAGGTGGTAGTTGGACCATTTGAATCAGACAATAACAAAAACTGGTAGGACTTTGCTGCTTCAGGACTGTTTCACTAATAAGACCAGACTTGGATTTCTGACCAAAGAGTTCAGGCTTGGTTTTGACTGAGTAGAGTCATATCTTTTGATTGTTGGAAAACCGCAAAGTGAGCTTACAGTTTTTTGGGAGTTTTTTTTGCCACTCTTAGGTTAAAATGAATAGCAGAACTAATACTTGACTTGCTAACA